TCAAAAATAGCAACATTGCTTATTTCCATTGCAATTGTGCTATTTGGACGTGATGTTATCACAGTACAGATTTAAGACAAATTTGGGTGCTTCTCAAATCAACTTTAAGTCCAAGTGGCACTCAGTGTTACTTCAAAAGAATCAATGAAAAGGTCAAGAGGTATTTACATGAAATAGAGTCGGTTGCTACTAAAATAATTGATAGACTCTCCTGGAGCACTTTCCTCTTTTAATCTTTCGGTGTACTCTGTTTAGAAAAACTGTTTCCAGAAAGAGAAAAGCGAAGTAGAAGAGTCGGTAGTTTTATCGACAAAATAACAATTAAGGTAGCCATACGTACGTACCTTGTAAGTTTTTACACGAGAGGACATCTCTCTTCTGGACCAATATTTTACAACTTGCGTTTGCTTTGCATCGGGGAACTTCCTGACATGCTATGAAAAAAGACAAAAAATCACAGCTTAGTTACAAGGGACAGAAGTGGAAGACGCAAACTAACAGGAGGAAAAGTTTGGGAGACCTGGAAATGTTGTGAACACAAGGAAAACTATTCACTGGATTTACAATAAATTAAATGAAAGATAAGCGCCATGAATGGACTTGGTTTAAGTCTAAGTCTACTAGGAATTGGTTATCTTCTCATCTGTAGAACGAGCAGAAAGCGAAACTAGCAATGCTAGCTCGAAACCCAATATGCCACAATGACCTGACGTCACAAAATGGTGGAAACGAAATGCCTGGGCAGTAGGTAGGATGAAAATCGATGCGTTTGTGGTAACTTACCAGATATCGGGCCATTTCAAGTGTCGAGTTAAGGGCGACGGATACGTTCAAGAGTAACTTGGTCAGGTCAGGATCAGAGTTTAAACGTTCACTCTCGTCAAAGAGAGCGAGGTACGCTGGGTTGGTAAACTCCACCAATTGGCGGCAAATTGCTTCGGTGATGTTCTCAGGCTGAGAATAAAACAACAGAATATCGTTACTTTTCCCCGACAACAATTCCGTGAAGTTTTGGATAACCAGTTTTAAAACTATTTGTCATGTAGGTACAAATTATTTCTGACAATTTATCCCTCATCCTCTTATACTTATACGAATAAAATTTAGGAAAAATTATCTCTAATTGCTCCATATCGATCGATCAATCAATCATTTATTTTATTGTGCACTATTTGCAGAATTTTAAAATTTACATCAGTAGAATAAAATAACTAGGGGAAAAGAAATAAATGTTGCATATGGCTATGGAGAAAATTAAAAAAAAAATAATAAGTGCCGATGAAAGAAATCTGCGCTGATTCTCTAATTGGTTGTGGCTTGGTTTAAAGATAATTTTCCCACCACAGTTACAATCAATCTATGATCACTACAATGCTCCCTGTCTCTTTACATAAGGCTATTACTTCGACATAGGTTTCCGTTTTGTTTGATTCACAGACGTAACAAGATGCCCCCTTCACCTTACGGAAAATAGGATAACGGTATAGGGTATAAGGTGACGGCGTTACGATGTAACGCTGTAACGCAACGCTGGGTCTTTTTTGTTTACACTCAATAGAACATTGCTTACCATTTGGCTCGCTACTGCGGCGAAGTTGTGCCTCAGTATACCAAGTACCAATAATGGCAGGTTGTTACGCCTGTCGCTGAAGTGGACGTCTTCCTGCATTAAACGAAAGAAAGAAAAATTTTAAAAAAGGATCTCTTCGCTTGGGGAAATCCCTATTTGTTATCTGCAAAGGCAAGCTTGCGGCGAAATTCAAAGCGTTCAATTTGCATGAGTATGATACGACAGCAATGTGTGGCTGAGATCTACTGTTGAAGATCCCCTGTCCTGGTATTTCAAGAGCTACAGTCAATTCCGGCAGGGAATTATCGACAATTTAACAATTATCCGCTCTCGAATATCAATGAAAAGCTCATTTAGGGCGACTAAACTGTCACCTCACAGGTATATCAAGCGCCAATAATTCAACTGTTTTGTTCGCGTGCTCATAAATACTTCATGAAGATGTTTTGGTTTTTAGAATTGCAGAAAAGCGTTGTCATTTTGTTATCATGGCTTACAGTGTATAATAACTCAGCCAATTAGATCGAGTATATGTATTCGTGTACTGATAGAAATCTTCTAATCGCTATAAGGCTCTTGCACTAATTAGTCTAGTTTTATAGCTTAATGGTTCTAAAATTATAATTTATACTCGTACACAGCTCAGGAACAGTTCAGAACACGAGAAAATGTGTTAAGGAATATGTGAATAAAACGTTACTGAATGTTGCTACTTACATATTTTTTAACTGCCATTACTGCGCTTTCTCCCAGTCGCTCGGTCCAGTCCTCCAGCCAGCTAAGGACCTTGCGGTCTTGCGCCTGTTTTGCGGGTGCAGCGGAACATAGTAAAGTGAAGCTTAGGAGTGCAATGACGGAACAGTTTATAAATTCTTTAAAACCTGAAATTGAAAAAGATGAAGTTTTTAATTAGAATTCATGTAAATAGCACAAACCCAGGCTAATGTGGGAATGTTAACTATTTAACCATTTAGATTATTCGCTCGCGATTTCCCTATCGCTTAATAAATTGACGAGGGTACAGCCAAGTCACTTATCACGCATAGAAATCGAGATCGGGTAATCGCATTGTTTCGGTGTAAATCTACTAGTCGCTCAAAATTTTATCTTAAGACAGACACTTCGAGAACCCAAAGTTGCGGCCACCATTTCGTTAACAAACGCACACTGGCATTGGTAGGCTACTCATCATCTACAACAGCCAATAAGAGAACGCTACACGTGATAGAACGCTGATAGATTTATTCTAAATAATAGATCGAAGGCAAGAAGGCAACACACGTTAGAAATTACAGTGTTCGTATGGGAATCGGATTATTTTCTTAAAATTTGAATTCTGGACACTTTATGAATAGCAGATACTAGGCAATTATTTTCCGTGAACTTGCCAGCCGCGTAAAAATCATAGACAAGTGTAGGGAAAGTTAGAACTCGACGGAACATTTTCTAACACAATTACTTCCTTCAAATTTGGTCAATGCTGTCACGGTCTTTTGCCAAGCATTGTAACTTTGGTATTCACAAATTGTTCAGAATTCAATTTAAAAAAAAAAATTGTTTGCCGTTGTATTCCCATACAAACACTGTAATTTCTGTGTCGTGTTGTCTTTCCGTGAAGATGGCTTCCAACTGAGACCATGATAAGGTCTATGGAAGTTTCGTTATAGTGTAAGAGAGCTAAAGAGGCTAGCCTACTTGAAAACAAATCACAACTGAAACAAAGTTCTTTTACAATAACTATCTAGTGAAGAAATCAGTGCACTCAAAGGCAAATAGAGAATGTTTTATACATACCCATTCTGGCCGATTCTTGAACTTGTGTGAGTGAAGTCTGTCTCTTTAATGAGCAGTTGAGTACTAATCGTTGATTGCTTTGTTGAACTGCCAGCTTCAATGCATGCGTCTTTTATAAGCAAGTGGACAAGCCCCAAACAATCATTTTTACTGATATACATTATGATCTTCCTTTAGATGTTCCCTTGGAACTTACGTGATTACAAGTAAAGATAAAATTAGCAGGTCATGAGGGGAAGCTAAATATCTGCAGAGTGAGGAAAAAAAAAAGAATTTATTTTTCTGGGATAGCCCCGGCTATCGATTGCGTAATGTTCCGGCGACAGGAACTGTAAACTGGTCGATAATTTTACGGAGTTATGTTTCATTCAATCAGAATGTTATATTTCAAGAAACCGCCGTGAAGCTTATTAACCCCAATTATGGTCAATTCAGCTAGGCTGCTTCTTACATGTTGTTTTGTCTCTAGGTTGTTGGATGCTTTGCTAAAGACCTAAGGAAGTCCGACAATTTACAAGAGCTTAGCACAGCTCAATCTGCTTGCCTCTGAATTACTTTCTTGGAATCTACTTATTTTTTAATGTTGTAGATATATATCTCAAAGAATGTTTCTCCTGTATTTCAAGTTAAGAATAATACTGGGTGTGATTCAGGTCTTCCAGTTATTCCCCAAACCGTTTGCGCTATTTTAAAGACACATTAAAGTTGAAACGAGTTAAGCCTATTGTAACGCGATTATATGAACCCCTCGCCAGTCTCGTGTTCTCTCAGCTTAGTTTCGACCGGCTTTGTAGCTCGCAGAGAACTCCCTGAGGGAATCACGAATTACGGACACTGCTTATAGAAAATTCCAGAGTTGTTGACTGAGAAACGTATTCGTAAACAAAGCTCTAAAGATCTCAAGACAGCATTTTTGAAGTGATGAAAAGTCAATACATAACATTTGAGTGTAGCCTTTTATCATTTCTCTTTTCCGAGAAAAATCGTCTAAAAATAGATTGTTCTCTAAGATTACCAGCGTTTTGTCACAGACCGTAAGAGCTTTGAACGTGTCACGTCACACTGTCGAGAGGTGATTCGAATAATGGAGATCAACTAGGACGTTCTTTAGCAAGCGCTGATAATTTTGACCATCTACAAACCCATAGCAGATTTGTTATAACCATTTTGTTAATATTTCTTCAGCTTACAGTGAGAACTGTACGTGTAATATAATGTTTGCGACGATGGGCAGACACGCGAGCACGTAGCAGTTTCATTCCCTTATGGTCGACAAAGGAAATATGACTGAAAGCGGTAGGAAACTTCATTGAGATTCGGCCAATCTCATTTGCCCGGTTCTTTTGAGGGTTTCTTCTTGCAAACGAAAAGCTAAGAGACACAATACACGAAATCATTCGGGTCATATTCTTGCCAAAGAAATACTAACTAAAGCAGTTTGACCTCAGGATCAAGCGAGATAATTCTCCTGTTCCTAGCTAATGTTTTTGTTTACATTTTTACTGCCAGCCACCTAATTATGGCATTTTAATTTATTGTATAGTCGTATTTCGTTTCATTTACTTCCTCTTTAAACACGCAAAATTAGCTTCTTTTGTTGTTTGATGAACGAACAAGGGTCTTTTTCCGACATATAATGCAAGATAATGCGATTTTTTAAATTTAATTTAACGTTGAATTGAGTTTACAAACCATAAAGGTTTTTCACCTCTCAATTTCAATTGATTAGCATTGACCGATGCGGAGTGTTTCATGCGTAATTTTAAGGGCAAGTATTGTACTGTTTTCGGATGCAAATACTGACACAGAAAACGCACAGATAATGTCTGAGTTGAGTCATTGTACCCTACTTGAACTTTAAAGTATCAAATTTAAAGAATTCAAGACTTAAAATGAGAAATTACAGGTGTTATTGTAACGTAAGAGAACGGTCGGGAAGTTGTTATTAAAGAAATCCCCTTTTACTTTACCTAAAGAATAAGTTGTCAGCAAACCAAAAATGTTTTAGGGACTTCACTTGCCATAAGAGGAGAGAATTATATTGTGAAATAACGGATATAGTACGGCACTGAAGCCGTTTATATAAACGGAAGCCACAACATTGCAGTTTTGGAGCAAGCGGATTTCGTTTAGGAGTGCGGTGACTGGTCAGTTCCGTTTTGATGCTTGTTGCACAATTCTCGATTCTTTTACTTTTTTTGCCATAGCTGGCGCTTTAAACCGTGTGTATAAGCACTCAATTGTTTTACACTGTCGGTGAACATAAGCACAAACAAAAATATACGTGGTACACTAGAAAAAAGGAAAAAAATCAACAAATTCGCCGGGATAGCTTGACCTAGCTTTACAGTTTGCTGAGTTCACGTGTGTTCAGTGGACAAATTTTCTCATCGCGGGAAATATATTTTAAAACAACATGTCGCAACAAATCAGTACCGGTATAGTTGAAAATTACTCAACAAATTAGTAATATTAGAATATGACATTATACCAAACACTAACAATGCCAAAAAAGTCGTTAAACTCTGGTCTTAACGGTCAGCCATACGGTGCAGAAAGTTGGGCAGTGCTTGGAACTATGATCTGTTGTGACTTCCGCACATACATAAACAACTATATACAGAATGGCTGACTTTAAGGGCACCCAGCGGAAGAAATTTTTAAATGTTGTTTTCGGATTGATAAAAATGCGGTTTCGGCTTCTGAAAAAACGCCAGCAGCTATGATTTTCTGAGAGGAGGGGGATATGGGGCTTTGCGGTGTTGACTGCTTTACTAATGCGCTGATACGGTGAAAAAGATATGCCGCGTTGCAGTGTTGCGGTGATCGCAACTGAACCCTACGGTGTGCGATGTTTGTGTTTTTTACGCTACGGTGTTCGGTGGAATGAAATTGTTTGCGGTGCTGTGGTTTCTCATTTGACCTTTCTCCGACCTAAATTAAGCATGTAAACTTCGCAGTAATCCGTGCTAATTAATTTACAGTTGTATATTTTACAAAACAGCAAACGCAGACCAACACTGGCCAATCCGAAGCTGTTTTCGACCTTTACGGGCATCAGCAGTGTCGACACGTGGGCAATGAGAGGCGTTGGGATATATCTAATTTGCGGAAAATTGTTGAGGCATAAAAGTATTACATTACAAGTATAGAAATTCAAATCATGGGCTAAATAATGTGTTTCGGTGACGGTGTTTCGTCGACTTTTCTTGTGGTGATGCGGTGTTCGCTAATTGTTTTTGCGGTGTTGCGGTGTTCCCCAAGTCCCGCTCTGAGAAGCAATAGCAATTTCGAGAAGAATCAAGTTCCCCTAGCACAGCCTTAATTCACAGAGCTTTAAAAGCCTAAAGCAGCGTTTTTAGCATTTGGGAGAAAACTGTCGGGTAATCCTGATAATGGGCTAGCATGTCTTTACATGGCATTTTGTCCGATATATCCAAACGGGAAAAACAGTTGAATTTGCATCCCCACTTCGACATTTCTGTTTCAAAGGCAAGCTTGCTCCTGTTAGCGAAGGAAACTTAAATATATGAATGGTCATTCGTTTTTAAAATGGCTCCTTCGGGACAAAGTTTTTCTAAGCAAAGCCGCCAGAAATAGAAATGACTCAGTTGTTAGGTTGATGCAAGAAAAAAGCCGGGCTAAAATGATAAAAAAACGTTTCTGAGGCCAGTTTCATAAATAGATCTTTAACAGACCTTCTATCTTGTCGGCCTCACTAAAGTTGGACATACTTTTAAACGCGAAGTTTGTAGAATTATCCCAAGACGAATTTACTGAGGGAAAAAGGTGAAGTTTACATCTCTTGAGACGCGCAAATTAACATCAAGCACACTCAGTAAGTCTGATTTTCATATTTCGGGAACGAAAAACTTTGTGTAAGAATCTTTTTTCAGACAGCTTAGCATGTAATGAGGCTGAATTTTTACTCGTCATTTGTGTTTTGAACAGCTTAGCGAGTTCACCTAAAATTAAGAAAGACTCATAAGAATAGTGTGCTATGTGTGACGCACTAAAATCTCCGCTAAGGTACATCTCTACCTGTTGTGTTTATCCGTTTGCGCTTTTGTGTCTATTTTGTACCCATTTCCTGTTTCTTGATTTTGCTTATT